AATTTGGGAAGCCGAGGTGGGCGGATTACCCAAGGTGGGGAGTTTGAGACCAGCCTGACCAACATGGAGAAACCCCGTCTCTACTAAAACTACAAATATTAGCTGGGTGCGGTGGCGCATGCCTGTAATCCCAGCTGCTCGGGAAGCTGAGGGAGGAGGACTGCTTGAACCTGGGAGGCGGAGGTTGCAGTGAGTCAAGATCGCACCATTGTATTCCAGCCTGGTTAACAAGAGCGCAAAGAAATAGCAACTGTGCCGGGCGCGGTGGCTCAAGCCTGTAATCCCAGCACTTTGGGAGGCCGAGGCGGGTGGATCACGAGGTCGAGAGATCGAGACCATCCTGGTCAACGTGGTGAAACCCCGTCTCTACTAAAAATACAAAAAATTAGCTGGGCATGGTAGCGCGTGCCTGTAGTCCCAGCTACTCAGGAGGCTGAGGCAGGAGAATTGCTTGAACCCAGGAGGCGGAGGTTGCGGTGAGCCGAGATCGCGCCATTGCACTCCAGCCTGGGTAACAAGAGCGAAACTCTGTCTCAAAAAAAAAAAAAAAAAAAAAAAAAGAGCAACTGTCTGACATGCCGCTGTCACAGCCCACTGTCCCGTGTCCTGGTTAAGCACTGCTGCCTCTTCTAGATGGGCTGAGACCTCGTGCCTCTGATAAAGTCATTTTCCATCGCACATTTTTGTGTCTGTGGTTCTGCTGAGGGCAGTGTGATCTCATCACTTGAACACTTTGTGAAACTGTGAGGTGGGCAGGAAGCACCCTGCCATTTCACAGATGGGCACACTGAGCCTCCCCAAACTGGGCCCTGTGCCTCGGGCTGGGGTGGATAAGAGCAAAACAGGGCAGGGCGTGGGGAGCTTCAGGAGGCCGTGATCGGAGCCTCCTGTGTCCTCACGTGGGCAGGGGGTTGTGAGACCTGCAGCTGGGCTGGGGTGAGGTGGGTGAAGGTGCTGGGCAAGCATGGGATTGATTTTCTGTGGGGACTGTTTCTCTGTTGGCCCAGGGGGAATTTGAGGTTAAGAACATGGACATGAAGCTGGGATCGACCCTGAAGATCACAGGCAGGATTGATAATGGCGCTGATGGGTGAGCAAGGTTGCGGGGTGGGGGGTCCCCAGGCCTGGAACAGGCAGGGCGGGCGGGGCAGCCATGTGGAGTGGTCAGGCCAGAGGGACCTCGGGCCAAGGGGCCCTTTTTATTTTCTTTTCCTTTTTCCTTTTCTTTTCTTTTCTTTTTTTTTTTTGAGATGGAGTCTTGCTCTGTTGCCCAGGCTGGAGTGCAATGGTGCGATCTCAGCTCACTGCAACCTCTGCCTCCTGGGTTCAAGCACTTCCTTGTCTCGGCCTCCTGAGTAGCTGGGATTACAGGTGCACACCACCACAGCTGGCTAATTTTTGTATTTTTAGTAGAGATGGGGTTTCACTATGTTGGCCAGGCTGGTCTTGAACTCCTGACCTCGTGATCCACCTGCCTTGACTTCCCAAAGTGCTGGGATTACAGGTGTGAGCCACCACTATGGCCAAGGGGCCCTTTTTCATACCCTTCTCCCCACAGCCCTCCTGGCTACCTTTCTGTGGGGTCTGCCTTCATGCCTGAGGCCAGGTTTGGGGACCTGCAGAATTTCAGAGGTGACGCCATTGCTCTGTTCCTTGGCCCCAGCAGACATTGAAGGGGCAGGTGGAGAAGCCCCTGGAACGCTGGCCCCCTGCGGGGCGGGTACCTCTAGGGAAAGCCCAAATCCCCAGAGACACTACAGTCTTTACCCAGCGGAATGGCCACAGGCCAGTCTTCCACACGCATAAAACTGGGGCAGCTGCTGGGGGATGCTGAGTGGTCTCCCGGGCATCCTCTTGGTTAGAACCAGAGGCCTCAGACACCACCTCGGTGACTCACAGTCTAGCGAAGGGCTCTCTAGCCTGCAGAACCTTATCAGTGCATCTTGGAACTGCTCTTTATCTGCTTTTGGTTGGGGAGGGGACAGGCAGGTGCATGTCATAGGAGCCAAGAGAAGGCCAGGTGCGGTGGCTCACGCCTGTAATCCCAGGATCCTGAGAGGCCAAGGCAGGTGGATCATGAGGTCAGGTGTTCCAGACCAGCTTGGCCAACATGGTGAAACCCTGTCTTTACTAAAAATACCAAAATTAGCTGGGCGTGGTGATGGGCGCCTGAAATCCCAGCTACTTGGAAGGCTGAGGCAGGAGAATTGCCTGAACCCGGGAGGTGGCAGTTGCAGTGAGCCGAGATGGCGCCATTGCACTCCAGCCTGGGAATCAGAGGGAGACTCCATCTCAAAAAATAATAATAAGTAAAAATAAAGGAGCTAAAAATGACCTCTTTCTCCTAGGGTTCCTCACGTTTGCCAAAATGTGTGATACCCTTGGTCTGAGACTCCCGAAGGAAGGTACCCCATGACTCAGAATGCCCCACTTTCAGGAACCCTGAAGGTCTAACCCAGGCTCCTGTAGTGATCCTGCCAAGAAGTAATAATACCCCCGTTGCTTCCCTGTAGTGACGGGGAACTCACCACGTTAGGCTGGCTGTTTTCGGTTAAATTTAATAGGTCTTCAGATATCTAAGAGATAGCATTTCACTCTCCCAGGAGAGCCACCCTCAAATCCTGAAGCTGTTGCTATCAGTTACCCTCCTACCAACAGCTTTGATCCCTGCTCCAAATGGAAATGCGCCACCACAGCGCTGAGTCCGGCCCAGGTGTTAGCGCCCTTGTTTTAAGGCACAGATCTCAACTAACACGAGCTTTGATTCTTCCAGCTTGTGGTCCACAAAGATCCTCCAACCCAGGCGTCCCCAAACTACGGCCCGCCGCATGCGGCCCCCTGAGGCCATTTATCCGGCCCCCGCCGCACTTCAGGAAGGGGCGCCTCTTTCATTGGTGGTCAGTGAGAGGAGCACAGTATGTGGCGGCCCTCCAACGGTCTGAGGGACAGTGAACTGGCCCCCTGTGTAAAAAGTTTAGGGACGCCTGCTCCAACCCAAGCTGCTTTTTTTTTTTTTTTTTTTTTTTGAGACAGAGTTTCGCTCGTTACCCAGGCTGGAGTGCAATGGTGCGATCTCGGCTCACCGCAACCTCCGCCTCCTGGGTTCAGGCAATTCTCCTGCCTCAGCCTCCTGAGTAGCTGGGATTAGAGGCACGCGCCACCATGCCCAGCTATTTTTTTATATTTTTAGTAGAGACGGGGTTTCACCATGTTGACCAGGATGGTCTCGATCTCTTGACCTCGTGATCCACCCGCCTCGGCCTCCCAAAGTGCTGGGATTACAGGCGTGAGCCACCGCGCCCGGCCCAAGCTGCTTTATCCAGGCCTGAGCCCTGAGCCTCACCTGCTACCCCTTCCCCTGCAGCTTTGTAATTAATCTGGGCCAGAAGACAGACACGCTGAATCTGCATTTCAACCCTCGCTTCAGTGAATCCACCATTGTCTGCAACTCACTGGATGGCAACAACTGGGGACAAGAGCAACGGGAAGATCACCTGTGCTTCAGCCCAGGGTCCGAGGTCAAGGTGAGGTCAAAGGGGGAAAAGGGACTGGGGCGAGGTCAAGGGGAGGGCCCAGATGGGAGGGAGTCTGGCCAGGACACAGATGCTGGCACCGTTTGAGCCACCAGGCACTGCCCTGGCCCATTTCCGGGTCTTCCTGCCTCGACACCCTCCCTCCCCACAGCTCACGGTGACCTTTGAGAGTGACAAATTCATTTTGAAGCTGCCAGACGGGCACCAGCTGACCTTTCCCAACAGGCTGGGCCACAGCCACCTGAGCTACCTGGGTGTGAGTGGCGGGTTCACCTTATCCTCTTTCAAGTTAAAAGAATAAAATACCTCCAGCCAAGATTCCCCGTCCTGGGTTTTCTTCGGAGTCACACCAGGATCAACAGCCCTTGGGTCCTGGGTGTGTCCCCTACCGCTGTCTGCAGTTCCTGCCCCAAGGCCAAAAGCAAGCAAAACAATCCATTGAGGCTTCCTGTGGCAAGAACTGTGGTTTGTGACTCAATCTCCTGGGTCCCTCAAGTTTACAAAAACGCCAGATACCCCTGGTCTGAGGACTCCTGAGTGAAGGCACCCCATGATCCAGAATGTCCCGCTCTCAGGGATCCCACAGGTCCAGTCCAGGCTCCCGTAGTGATCCCACCACACATCCTCTGGTTGCGTACCTCTAGTGACAGGGAGCTCACCACCTTACGCTGACTATTGCTAAATGTAACAGGTTTTTTTTTTTTTTTTTTTTTTTTTTTTTTTTTTGAGACGGAGTTTCGCTCTTGTTACCCAGGCTGGAGTGCAATGGCGCGATCTCGGCTCACCGCAACCTCCGCCTCCTGGGCTCAGGCAATTCTCCTGCCTCAGCCTCCTGAGTAGCTGGGATTACAGGCACGCACCACCATGCCCAGCTAATTTTTTGTATCTTTAGTAGAGACGGGGTTTCACCATGTTGACCAGGATGGTCTCGATCTCTCGACCTCGTGATCCACCCACCTCAGCCTCCCAAAGTGCTGGGATTACAGGCTTGAGCCACCGCACCCGGCTTGTAACAGGTCTTAAGATACCTAAGCACGGGATTTATCTTTTCCTGCATTTTAATGCTCCTGGCATTTTCATGATACAGAGGAGGAAACCAATACAGACACCTGACTGCCCTGCTGGGAGGCTGAGACATGCTCCCAACAGTCCTGTGCACGTGCTCCTGTCTACCTGCCCCCATATCACCAGAGCAAATGCCACCCTGCCCTGCGGATTATGGGGCAGACCCCAGTCCCAGGCACCTGGGCCAGCGGCTGTTCCGGAACTGCAGATAAGGGCTCCCACCTGGGCTTCTTATCTCCGGGGCATTCCAGCCTGGTTACTCATTATCCTCCCCTTGGCGCTCCCCTCCCCTCCCCTGCTGCGGGCCTCGACGGGGGGTCCGTGGCTTTCTGAACTCCCTGGACAGGGCGGGTGTGGAGCGGATGCTGTCCTCCCAGGTCCCCAAGCACCTTGCAGGACGCCTTTTATCAAAACAGCCTTATTTAATCAGGTCCCAGAGGCAAATCTGGAGTATGTAGGCAGGTGGGATTCCTCCCGAGAGGCCATACCTGACCTTCCTGGGATAAGTGGGAGGCTGGGGCAGGGAGGTTGGGGAAGTGGCCGGGGATAGAGTTGTCACAGTTGCAGCGGGGACACTCTGGGATGAGCTGGGGGCAGGCGGTCCCTTTGGGAGGTGAGACAATGGCCCTGTGTGGTACACTCCCTGCCCCCCCACCCCACACGGACAGCTTGGTCTGGCACAAAGGCCACACTGTGAGCCTGGGCCCTCCAGCTGGTGGGGGTGGCATGGGGTGGGGCCTAAGGAATAGCTATTAGGTCCAGAGTGGCAGTGGGGGGATGTGGTCAGCCTGGCAGGCCCCTGGGAGCATCCAAGTCCCAGAGCAAGCCTGGCTGTCCCTGTCCTCCTCCCATGTCTGTCCTACAGAGGCGGGGAGGCATTTGGGGCAACTCGGCTTCTCCCCTCTCTGGTCTGGCAGGAATCAGCTGTTAGGTGAGGGGCTGGCTCTGCACCTCGGTGGGGCCTCGAGAACAGGCCCCAGCCCCTCACACCTTGACTTCATCATCCTCTTCAGCATCTGCAAATTCGAAGGTGTGTGTTTGCACTGTGCTGGGCACCGGGGTCCTGGTGCCTGCCTGGGGCGCCCTCCACTCTTCGTTCAGGCTCTCCCAGGAGGCCCGGGCCTGGGGCAGCACCTCCACTCGCTCCCGCCGCGTTTCGGGGTAGTGGGGGTTGCCACCCCAGCCTGCTCCCCAGTGCCTGCTGAGGGCTGGGTCAGCAGCTCCTCGGGGACCCCCTCCCACTGGGCTGGCCTTCCCCTCCACCACTGGGCCCAACCCGGCTGTCACCCCATTGGGACAGCGTCCACGGGGTGTGGAGCTTGCGGCAGGGGCTGGGAGGTTTGCAGTAGGAGCCGGGGAGTTTGCAGGAGCGGGTAGGGGGCTTGCAGCAGGAGCCGAGGGGTTTGCAGCAGCAGGGGCTGGGGTCTCAGCTGCAGGGGTTTCCGGGAGGCTCATGACCCCCAGCAGCTCGCTGAGGAGTGAGGGCCCAAGATCGAGGTCCAGGCGGAAGGACAAGAGCGAGTCCGAGCGGCGGAGCCCCGGCTCAGAGGGGAAGGACCCATCCTGGTCTCCGTCATGCGGCTTTTCTGAGCGGGGCAAGCGGGAGATGGTGCAGAACCCAGAGTCCAGGCCTAGAAAAGAAATGGGCGATGGGCTCAGAGCTGGAGTCCCTCGTCAGGAATTGAGGAGGGGAGACAGGACCAGTCCTGGCTTGCTGTGTGGCCTCTGGCAAGCCCCTCCCCTCTCTGGCCTCAGTTTCTCCCATCTTTCCAATGTAATATGCTCCATGCTCCCCTGTGTGATCTCCTCTCTATCCTCAACTGAAAGTCGTCGCCCTCATTTCCACTCGCAGAGGAGGAAAGTGAGGCTCAGTTTGGGATGAGGCGAACGGGCTAGCCCAAGGCCAGAGAAGTCTGACGGGGTGGAATCAAGCCTGGAGCTCAAATCTCCTGACTCTCAGTCCCAACTGCGACCTCGGCCATGGCCAGCTCCCTGCCATGACGCTGGCCAACGCTGCAGGGGAACCCAGAGCACGAGGCTGGTTTGTGGACACGTGATGGGACCAGCAGTCGGGGTCTGGCTGCATAGAAAGGAAGGACAGACACATGCCTTCCCAAGGTCATCTAGTCCAGCTCCTGCATCCAGGACCACAGACCTGAGACGTAATCGTGTTGCTGTGGACGGGTCCTCAGTGCGTCCTGAGCAGCCAGCCGCCTGGGGCAGGAGCATTAGAGCATTTGCCCCAAAGGTGGGCGTGAAGCCGCAAGGCAGGGAGTGGCCACCAGGTGGCAGCAGAGGCCCATGGTTCCCAGGTGAGCTCTTCCCTAGCAGCCAAGGTGGCACTTCTGGCTGGGCAGGAAGGGCCGTGGCTTGCGGCCCCTGTGAGTGGGTTTCCAAATCTGTCGAGTTACAGGAAACCAAGTTCAAATAACAACAACTGCTCCAGTGTCCTGAGCACCTACTGTGTACCAGCCCCTGGGCCTCTCCTGGCACTGGATCTTAGCAATGACCCCAGAGACTCATTATCTAGGTGAGGGCTTGAACTTACAGAAGTCAGTCGACTTCCTGGAAATCAGGCAGCACTGGATTGGAATCCAGAGCCCAGGCAGCCCTTCCCCTCTCCATAATACCATTCCGACTCGTGGCTGAAGGGGGCGAGAACAGGTGGTTGACTGGTTCAGCTGAGGCCCAGAGACGGGAGGTGCTTGCCCGGGTCACAGCAAGTGAGGGGCAGCTAGAACTCAAACTCCACCCCCTTGCTCTCAACCCCGGGTGTTTCGGGGAGTCATCCTGTTCCCACCTCTGCAGCCCCTCCCCATCTATAACGTGGGGTTTGGGCCTGACCTCTGCGGTAAGACCAAGGCACCTGGGGAAAAGAGCTCATTCGGGGCTTCGGAGCTTGGAGGAGCCCCTGAGCCCCTCTGGGCCTCAGCCTCAGCCTCTGAAAAGCGGGTCAGTGACCCAGGCTCTCACCGTAGCTGGAGTGGCCGTCCGTGGAGCTGGTGGGGCTGCCGTCGAAACTGAGCTTGCCAACCACGAGGCTGTCGTAGGCGGCCTGGTTGAGCTGGGGCAGGGAGATGGCGTTCTTGATGATGGGGGAGATGGCCGGGGGAGCCGGTGAGGGCGCAGGTGGGGATGCCATCCTCCGGGGGAGCGCCCCCACCCTCCGCACCAGCTGCAGCTTCTTGGCCAGGAAGCTGCGGGGTGAGCGATGGGTGCCCCCGGAGCTGCCACCGTGGTTGCTGAGGAAGGAGGTGTCCCCAAAGACGTCCCCGCCACGGCCCACATGCATGGTGTGGCGGAAGTCCCCGAGTGGGGGGCTGATCATGTCTGCAGTCAGCCGCCTCTTTCCATGAGAACTGGAGACCCAGCCCACAGGTGAGAGCTTGCCCAGGCTCATGGTGGGGGCGCCTCCGCCCCCCTGGGGGCCGGGCATCAGCTCTGGCAGCTCGCAGCCACTAGTCCATGCCCACCAGGGGCTGGGGGAGGGAGGTGGGCTGGGCTGGGGACTGGTGCTCAGCTCCTTTGCCCTGGCAGAAGCTGTGGATGACGCTCTCCTAAGGTGAGGTCCCTGAAAGCTGAGGCTGTGGGGGCTCCATGGCTCGTCTCTCCCCGGGGCCCGGCTCCCAGCCCCTCAGAAGCAGCTGTAGATGTTGAAGTGCAGAGAAAGCACCCCGGAGGGGGTAGGCTTCTCTCCTGCCCAGGGTGGTTTCCTGGAAGGAAGACAGAAAGGGTGGTGACCGCAGGCCCGGGGCAGAGGAGGAAATCCGGGGTCCAAACATGGGCAGCTGAAGCGGACAGACAGACGATCACACCCAACCACATGGATGGAGGGGTCCGGCCAATGCAAGGCAGAAGTCAGGCACAACGGGACTCAAGTGAGTCTGTGTATAGAAAGTTCCAGAACACAGCCAGGCTGGGTGGCCCACACCGGTAATCCTAGCACTTTGGGAGGCTGAGGCATGTGGATCACTTGAGGTCGGGAGTTTGAGACCAGCCTGGCCAACATGGAGAAACCCCATCTCTACTAAAAATACCAAAATAGCCAGGTGTGGTGGCGAACGTCTGTAATCCCAGCTACTGGGGAGACTGAGGGAAGAGAATTGCTTGAACCCAGGAGGCAGAGGTTGCAGTGAGCTGAGATTGCACCACTGCACTCCAGCCTGGGCCACAGAGCAAGAGTCCGTACCAAAAGAAAAAAAAAAAAAAAGAAAGTTAAAGAACAGGCATAACCAATCGATGCCATCAGAAATCAGAATGATCTCAGTGTCTGAGCAGGTACTGACTGAACAGGGGACAAAGAATGCATCGAGCTATACGATTAAGCTGTGTGTCAGGAAAAAACAGAAGCACTCATTCTAAGTCTGAGCAACATAATGAGACCTCGTTTCTACGAAAATATTAAAAAACAATTAGTTGGGCGTGGTGGTGTGTGCTTGTGGTCCTAGCTACTCAGGAGGCTAAGAAGGGAGGATCACTCGAGCCCGGGAGGTCACGGCTTCAGTGAACCGTGATTGTGTCACTGCACTCCAGCCTGGACGACGGAGTGGGACCATACCTCAAAGAAAAAAAAAGTGCTCGTTCTGCAGGGTGGACTTACGAAGCACTTACTAAGTGCCAGGACGTCACCTATATCATCATTTAAACCCGTACAGTACTCCTGAGGGAAGCACGATGTTAGAGGGGAAACTGAGGCACGCAGTGAAGCAACTTGCCTGAGGCTACATCATAGGAAACAAACAGGCCCTACATCCCAGAGCCCTGGAGCCCCAGGCTACACTGCCTCCTGCTGGAGTACTGAGTAAGTCACCTCCCTTCTCTGTGCATTAAAACCTCTGCCACCCAGAGACGCCAGGAGGGAGCGGACGCCTTGCCAAGGCTTTGTGAAGCTGGGTAAACAGCCAGAGCAGAGGCTCCTCTGAACCCTCCACCTTCAAGGAGCTTCCTGGAATAAGGATCCTGTGGTCAAAAGTGGCTTTTTTCAGCTGCCCCCTCCATGCGTGAGCATATTCAAGGCTCTGAGAAGGCCCGCAGGAAAAGACTTTATCACGGTTTGTCAAATTGCTGTAGGAGCCGTGTCAGGGAACAAGCTTTGGAAAAAGCTCAGCTGGTGCCAAAAGCTATTTCTTGCCCATCTCTCCCTTCCTGATTCCCCACCCCCACCACACACACACACACACACATCCTCCCCAGCTCCAGCCTCTCTAAGGATTGCTTGTTCCGACCTTTTCCTTCTAGTATCATACCAAGTCCAGGCTAGAGGACACCTGTGATCCTTCGGTCCCACCTCTGGTTTTCCTGTGGCCCAGAGAGGGCCAAGCTGGCTCAAGGTCAGATCTACAGCTAGTCAAGACTTGAACTCAAAGCCTCTGACTCACATAAGCCCTTGACTGGCTCGTGGAACCCAGTCTCGCCTTTTGAGATCAGCAACGCACTGGGAGGGTGGGGCGGCCGCCTGGATTTTCCTGCCTTCCTCCCTCGGGCACCCAGCTTGGGCTCTGCACTTAGCAAGTGCCAAATTAATGCCAGGTGAATCACAGATCTCTTCAATAACCCGAATGGCAAAACATCACCCCAACCCCTTCTGAGAGCGGGAGGGCAGGCTGGGTACCCGGTGTCCTCACACTGTGACCTTGGGCCAGTCACTTACCTACACAGACCTGGGATCTCAGCTGATAGAAGTCAATCATGATCCTTAACAAGAACACCTACAGCTGTGGCCCAGCCTGCTGCTTTTTTATAAACCACTGCTGCCTCCTCCAAGCATAAAAATCTCAATATTGCCCTTCGGATGTTATTTGAAATTCAAAATAGGTTAAATAACAAGATAAGAACAAAGAAGGCAATAGGACAAAGCTTGCTTTGTTTTCGGACTGCATTCTCTGCCCTTCCCACCATCTGATCCTCCCTCCCCCAACCCTAACTCCTCCCCCTGGATGGGGGGGGGTGGCTTCTGAATCATCCTTTTCCCTCCCTGGCACCCCCGGCACCACGAAGTCCTCATGGAATGTTTGCTGAAGTTCTGAAGCGCTCCACAGTTGGCCAACTATTACATGATGTCATCTGATTCTCCAACAACCCCACAAAGCTGCAGGGTGGCCCATCTGACAGGGAGCGCTGAGGTTCGGAGGGAAGGAGGAACTGTCCAGGGTTAAGTGACAGATTCGTGGCAGGGCCAAGTTCCCCTGCCCAGTAGGGTTTAAGGATGTGTCTCTGGGGGAAGGAATGGGGGTGGGGTGGGTGTTCCTGGGCTGTAAAGTGTCATACAGAAGGGTCTGCCATGTGGCCTCACCCACTTGCCCCCACCCCAGCTCCCTGACTTTTTTCCTTTTTTTTTTTTTTTTTTAAGACTGAGTTTCGGCCGGGCGCGATGGCTAACACCTGTAATCCCAGCACTTTGGGAGGCCAAGGCGGGTGGATCATGAGGTCAATAGATGGAGATCATCCTGGTAAATACAGTGAAACCCCGTCTCTACTAAAAATACAAAAAATTAGCTGGGCATGGTGGTGCGTGCCTGTAATCCCAGCTACTCAGGAGGCTGAGGCAGGAGAATTGCCTGAGCCCAGGAGGCGGAGGTTGCGGTGAGCCGAGATCGCGCCATTGCACTCCAGCCTGGGTAACAAGAGCGAAACTCCGTCTCAAAAAAAAATAAAATAAATAAAATAAAGACTGAGTTTGGCTCTTGTTGCCCAGGCTGGAGTGCAGTGGCGTGATCTTAGCTCACGGCAACTCCCACCTCCTGGGTTCAAGTGATTCTCCTGCCTCAGCCTCCCCCGTAGCTGGGATTACAGGTGTGCGCCACCATGCCCAGTTAATTTTGTATTTTTAGCAGAGATGGGGTTTCTCCATGTTGGTCATGGCTAGTCTCAAACTCCCGACCTCAGGTGATCCACCTGCCTCAGCCTCCCAAAGTGCTGGGATTATAGGCATGAGGCACCTCAACCGGACTTTTTTTTTTTTTTTTTTTTTTTTTTTTTTTTTTTTTTTTTCCTTGAGGCAGGGTTTCACTCTGCCACGCAGGCTGAGTGCAGTGGCTCCATCACAGCTAACTGCAGCCTCAAACTCCCAGGCTCAAGGGATCCTCCCACCTCAGCCTCCTGAGTAGCTGGGACTGCAGTCACACACCACCATGCTCAGCTAACTTTTTTTCCACTTTTTGTAAGGACAGGGTGTCACATTGCCCAGGTTAGTATTAAATTCCTTAACTCAAGCTATCCTCCTGCCTCAGCCTCCCAAAGTGCTGGGATTACAAGTGTGAACCACTATGCCTGGCCTCCCTGACTTCTTAAGGCAGGACCTCTTCTCCCAGCAAGAGGGGCTCCTCCTCCTTGAACCCCCATGGTCACTTTTGACTTGGGGGACCAGCTTCCTCCCCAATCTTGTGATGATCCCATCTTTCAAATGTTTCTGGGCACCCCCCAAGCTTACCTCCCTCCTCCATTCCACCCTACCTACTGTAGTGGAGAGGCCCTGTGGCACAGTGGGGCTGAGGGCAGGGCACTGCTCCTGGGACCCGTCTTCCCACATGGAAATGACAGGCAGTTCCCTCCCAGGGGAGTTGTAAGGGTAGAAATGTAATGAAACCCTCAGATGCTGGAGCAGGGCAGCCAGGGGTTCAGATCTGTCACCTTTACACTAATATCTCTCATTCCAGGGACCCCTGGTGGCAGCCACATGGCACTTGCTGTCAACCACAGGGCACTCACTGCTGGCCATCAGGTGTGCCTCACCTGGCACTGGAGTAAGCAGGGCTCCAAGTGTCGTGGTGCCAGGTTCACCTCTCCTCACCTGCCCAGGAATACCGCCCGTTGTGTTTAGAACACCCCTTTTACAGATGGGAAAAAACGAGGCTCAGAAAGGAGGCATTTACCCTCAGTCACAGACCAACATCGCTGGTAAATGCCCCAGGGTGGGGGTGAAGGTGATGGAGAATGGGGAAGGGGAGGTGGAGGGCTTGGATGCCCAGTCCTGAGCAAGGCATGGGGTGCGGTGCAGGCCTGGGAGACAGAGGAGACCCAGTTCTGCAGATTCGGTGCCTGTGACCTGGGCAAGGAGGTTACCACATAGCCTCGGTGTCCCTGGAGTCCTTATATTTACCCTGTAGATACAGTCAGGGCCTGGGCGCAGGGCCTGAGCTCACTCAGGGGTGGGAATGACACAAGGACAAGTTTTGGAGCCGGGATCGGGCCAACAGGGGCTGCTGTGGACGCACGTGTACTCCGGGGAGGCCAGGGGAGGCTTGATGGAGAACATGGGGGCGGCTGCAGCCTGGCATTCACCTGGAGGTCACCCGCAGGCCGCAGGGCTGGCCAGGGCCTCACGTTTAATCCTGGAGGCCTCTGCTCGGGTGCACACAGCCCCCTTCCTGCGGGCATCCAGCTGGGAACCACCCCCCCCCACCACCCCCCCCCCCCACTAACCGCTGGACAGCGGGTGTCTGTCTTGGTTAGGGCAGCTCCGCCAAGCCTGCGCTAGCCCCTGGGCTAAGGGGTTAACCCGAGGGGCTGGCTTCTGCCCCTCAAAGTCCAGACGCTTCAAGGTGGAGAGATGGGGAAACTGAAGCCAGAACCGGGTAGCTAGTTGTCCTCAGTCGCGCTAGGGGACCCGGTCCTCCGTATTCCAAGGGGGGCATCGTGGGCCATTAGGGAGCGACAGGGACAGTGGAAAGGAGACGCGCTTCGTGCCCACCGCCCCGAGTTAGAGCCGAATCAGCCCTGGACCGCTCGAGGCGGGGCGGCGGCGGGCCGCGGCTCAGGTCCCCGCGCCACGTTTCTTGCGGCTGCGGCCTCCCGACCAGTCCCTTCTCATCTCTAAGCCTCAGTTTCCCGGTCTAGGAAAAGGGCCTCGAAAATCGCGGGTCTGGCACGGCTGGGGCGAAGGCAGAACGATCTGGAGGGCGGCCGGGATTGGAAGTCCGAGAAGGGCTCTGGCCATCCCACACTGTCTGGGGGGACGGGCTCAGGACGCGGAGGGTCGCTCCGCGGGGGAAGGGGCCAGCCGGCTGTCTTGGCCAGAGGGGAACCGGACGGGATGACCTCATCTGCGGCTCCAGCCTGGAATGCGGCGGTCGGGGAGGGGGCAGGGTGCCTGTCCACCTCCCCGAGCCCCCCACCCCCCACTTCCCGCTCTCCGCGTGGGCCTCGGCGGCGGGGAGACATTCCGCGGCGTCGCCCGCCCCCCGCCCCGGCCCTTCCTTCCCCAGCGCAGGAAGGCGCGGAGACGGCCCCGCTCGGCCCCTCGGCTCGCCCCCTCCGCGCGCAGTTTGGCCGCTCAGCCCCGTCCGTTCTTCTGCCCCGTCTGCCCGCCCGGAACGCACGACAGCCCGAAAGCTCGCAGTCTCCCCGCGCGCTCCCGGAGGCGCCTCTCCCGGGCGGGTCCCCTCCGCGTCCCGGCCTCGGGAGCCTAGGAGGGTGCAGAGCCCCCGCAGGCGCCGGGACCCACTGGCCTCCACGGAAGGCCCCCGTCTCGAGGACCCGCGCGCCGCGGCTGTTACCTGGTTCCGTGAGCCCCGGGGGCGCGGGACGAGGGCGGACTCGTCGTCGTCGGCGGCGGCGGCGGCCGCGCGTCCCGACCGGCAGCCCGGGAGAGTCGCTGGGCCGGTCTGCGCCGCCCTGGCCGCGGGCTCCGCGGGCTGGATCCGGGGGCGGGGGCGGGGTGTGGGCGCTCCCGCCTCCCGCCCCTCTCCTCCCGCCCGCGGGCGGGGCCCGGACCTCTCCCCGGACCCCTCCCCGGCACCGTACTTGCCGCCGCGAGCTGGCAAGGGGGACACGGCAGCGGGGCGGTGGGGGCCAGGCCAGGCCTCTGCTCGCCGCCCCGGCCAGGGCTAGCCGAGGAACGCGCGATCTGTCCCGAGGAGGCGACTCCGGTCCCCAGCCGCCAACCCCTCCCCCACTGGTTCCCCGCGTGGCCTTGGGGCGTCCAGGCCTGATGAGCTCTCCTCCCTCCTGGGCCCTCCGGCCGCTCCCTGCGGGAGTTTGGGGAACCGGGAAGCTCGATCGGAGGCCTTGAATGCCTGGGCCTTTAAACTTTGAGTTTTACAAGCTTGGGACGCCCGCTCCCTTCCTCCCCATTCCCATTCCCTTCCACCCGGTCCAGGCCCTGCGGCGCCAAGGAGGAAGACAGCCACACCGGGGCTCAGGCCACGCAGGCACTGGTAGAGTGAGGTGGAGTGGCTGTCAGGGCCGGGACCCTGGAGCGCGACAGCCTGGGTTCTTGTCCTGCCTCAGTCACTGCTTACATGTCTGTGCCTCAGTTTCCAGATCTGAAAGCGGGATAGATAACAGCATCACATGTGTTAAGTGTTCTCTGCTCTCAGAGCACCTAGGAGTCCTGCTCGCAGGTAAATGAGGTTGCATCTGAGACTTTACACATCCCACCACCACCTCCATGGGGGGGCAGGGAATCAGCCCTACCCGGGACCCTGTGCCATCCTCAAGGAGGGGAGATAGATCTCTGGCCCCTGCCTCCTGTTGTTGTGCCCTCTGACTACTCCCCTCTGACTATAGAGTCCTCCGGCTGTCAGGCACAGAGAGGTCTCTAACACTGCCTGGGGGGGTGTCAGGGCTCAGGAAAGCTTCCTAGAAGGATGATACCTGAGTTAAGTCTTTTTTTTTTTTTTTTTTTTTTTGGAGATAGTCTCACTCTGTTACTCAGGCTGGAGTGCAGTGGCACGATCTCCACTCACTGCAAACCTCCACCTCCTCGGTTCAAGCGATTCTCCCACCTCAGCCTCCAGACTAGCTGGGATTACAGGCACCCACCCATTCCCTAGCTAATTTTTGTATTTTTGAATAAAGAGGGAGTTTAGCCATGTTGGCCAGGCTGCTCTTGAACTCCTGACCTCAGGTGGTCACCCGCCTCGGCCTCCCAAAGTGCTGGGATTACAGGCTTGAGCCACCTCGCCCGGCACGTCCTTGAAGATTTAGCTCACCGCGGTATGGTGGCTCACACCTATAATCCCAGCACTTTGGGAGGCCGAGGCGGGTGGATCACGAGGTCAAGAGATCGAGACCATCCTGGTCAACAAGGTGAAACCCCATCTCTACTAAAAATACAAAAAGTTAGCTGGGCATGGTGGCGCGTGCCTGTAATCCCAGCTACTCAGGAGGCTGAGACAGGAGAATTGCCTGAACCCAGGAGGCAGAGGTTGCGGTGAGCCGAGATGGCACTATTGCACTCCAGCCTGGGTAACAAGAGTGAAACTCCATCTCAAGAAAAAAAAAAAAAAAAAAAAATCTTCAAGGACATGTAGGCAGAGGGAGGGGCAGTGGAAATGCACAGTGCGCAGCTGGCAGAGGACAGCACAGCAAAGGCTT